GCACACACACACACACACACACACACACACACACACACACACACACACACACACACACGCACGCACGCACGCACGCACGCACGCACGCACGCACGCGGGCTTTAGGTGTGTACAACAGACAGCATGTATCCGATGTTATCCGGCAACGGTCTGTGGCCGTGGAAGCGGTCAAAATGTAAATGAGACGCACTGCGTGTCATTTGAGGAGATATGCCCGAGGGATTTCATTAGTAATTGCTTGATAGGAATCTAACTCGCCTACACACACACACACACACACACACACACACACACACACACACACACACACACACGCACGCACGCACGCACGCACGCACGCACGCACGCACGCACGCGGGCTTTAGGTGTGTACAACAGACAGCATGTATTCGATGTTATCCGGCAAACTACTGATATCAGGGAAGACCTCACTCTTCCCCGTTCACAGAGAGATAGCGCTGCTTCTTACGCGCGCTCATGTACACGCACGCAAGCACGCACGCACACGCACGCACACACACACACGCACACGCACACTCGTACACAAGCACGCACGCACACATACACGCACGCACACATACACGCACCCGCGCATACGCACGCACACACGTACACATACACGCCCACGCGCACACGCACGCACGCACATACACACAGACGCGCAAACGCAAGCACACACCCACGCACACATACACGCACACGCGCATACGCACACGCACGCACGCACACACACATAAGCGCACATGCACAAACCTGCACGCACGCACACATGTGCACACACGCACACCCGCACATGCACGCATGCAAGATAGAAGTCTACAATATGTGTGTACAATAGACAGCCTGTACCCGATGTTATCCGGCAAACTACTGATATCAGAGTTCCTCACTCTTCCCCGTTCACAGAGAGATAGCGCTGCTTCCTATGCGCGCGCACATACACGCACACGGGCACGCATGCATACACGCATGCACACATACACGCACACACGCACACGCACAAGCACACGCATGCACGCACACACAAACCACACGCAAACACACACACACACACACACGTACGCACACATACACGCACACATGACACATACACGCACATGCAAGCACGCACACGCAAGCACGCACACATACACGCACACACAAGCACGCACGCGCAAGCGCGCACACACACGCACGCTCGTACACAGGCCCAACCCCGCACGCACACATACACGCACATGCGCATACGTACACGCACGCAAGCAAGCACGCACACATACACGCACACGCCCATACGCACACGCAAGCACGCACGCACGCACACGCACACACACACACACACACACACAAACGTGCATGTACACGCATATACGCACACGCTGGTACATACACACGTACACACACGCGTACACACGCACGCACACTCACAAATATTGGTGACACGGTCCCCACGGCATCGTAAACGTGTCTGGTGTTGTGGCGTTCACATAACATCTCATACAAATTACAAATTACCCCATCAGTGTTCTGACATCATTAGCATCGAGCTATGAACTCGCCCACGCATCAACTCTAACTACATACCCCTATATAACTAATTAAGTATATATATATATATGCGTGAGAGAGAGAGAGAGAGAGAGAGAGAGAGAGAGAGAGAGAGATAATACCAGGAGTAGATAACAGGGAGAGAGCTGTACTGAGAGCTTTGAATGTGACTAAAACGTATCTACGCGAGGCGTGTTACCCCGTTTCTTTCACGTTATATTGGATTAAGCGTGGATTGTATTTCAACTGAACATCTGCCATATTGTCTCTCGCTATCGGTAGGCTCTGTGCTCACCGTACGCATTGTCGCATTGCGTTAAGTGCCTTGGGCAGTTGCATCGAATTTTACGGTTTTTGAAAACCTTTGATCAACAGTTGATTAGACGGCTGATTCAACCCGCCGCCGCTCGCCAATCGAGCTCACGAGTAATGATGAAAGGATTTAATCTTTTAGTCGATCGAGAGCAATTCCCTGATTAATATGGAAAGAACTTTGAGGGATTTTAGTTCGTATTCGCGGCGATGGCTAGGATCGAACCATCGTGTCGCTATAAATCCACCGCTGTTATCTAATTATCTGGTTATTTTAATATTCGTACGATGGCGCCATCTCACGGCGCGTTCGGTCATAGCAGTAACTACGGAAAAGTTAAATACGGTAAAAAAGATTTATTAGCTATTAAAATTAGTGTAATATCGGTTCGTACGTAATATTTGTATTCCCGCATAGTGCGAAACTATGCGAATGGGTTCGTAAAAACGCAGATGCGAATTTCGATACATGATCATAACACTCAGCGTCGCCTATTGAACTCGGTATCACAGTTACCACTCATCACATTATTCAAATATCCTGTCCGGTGATAGACTAAGCCGCTAAGTCGTTGATAATCCGTTACTTGGCAAACACTTAGCAGCCACTTGGCCACTTGTCCATATGGGCTTTTGCAATCAGTCTAGCTTTGTGACATGAATGCGAAAAATAATCACATGATCATCGTTCGAGTGCGAGAGAGAGAGAACGTTGCTCTTCGTATGTCTGCACTCAATCCGCAGTCTGCGACAATGTAACACGCAAAATGGAGTACACATCGGATCGCATCGGATGATTTTTTAGCGCGGTCATCTAGACTGGCTCCGACGAATCGTCAAGAAACGGCAACGGACGGCAGCCGACGACGCCCGGTGCCATTCTAGCAGTCATCGGCGATCGTCGCCAACCCATCCATCAACGCTTATTTATTACAGAGAGACAGGATGCTGCCACTGTCACGCTACTATTGCCAGATGCAAATCGCAGTGCGTTGGTGTGTATATGCATCAGTGTTGCAGATGCATAAATAATGTAATTATCGCCTAATGTAATACACGTATACATAACCTCATGCGTTTCCCTCAAGCGACACCACTATTGACAGGTAGGTCTAACGATGGCTACGATACACTAGCACTGCTATAGGAAGGACACATTTAGTGCTTACACAACAACCTATCAATGCTCTAGAAAGCTAGCATTACTCAATTTAAATTCGATCAAAACGCTAACAAAAAAATCGTTTTTAAATCGAGAGGAAATAAATTTTGCTGAGAAAACGGTGATCGTGTTGTTTTTCCATCATCGCCAGACGATTCGTGGATCGTGGCTCTATAACGAGCCGGCTTATAGCTCGTAGCTTTACATTGTGTTCAGATACGTATAGATTACTGCCACGTGAACGCATCATCGTTGAGTAGAGCCGCCAGGTCCTCGTTGTAAGGTCGGTAGAAGTCCGTTAGCAACCGTCGTGTCTCGGGCAACATGGCGCCCACGCTTCTCGCGCGCGCTCGCCGATGATTGGCTGCGGGCGCTTTCTCGATGCGCGCCACCTGCTGGGCAGTTAGTGGTCCTGCGAAGGAGGAAGTGATGACGTGGTTATACGTAGAAGCGTGTAGTTGACCTCTGTGCGCGGTTCATAATGTCAAACGTATTCTTACCCTATTTATACTTCTTCACTTTGTCCTACCGTCTAACATAGCCTAACATTGTCTAACTTAATGTTAACATGTCTTCCCTAGCCTTACAATGTCTAACCTTAACATTAAGATGTATTGCCTAGCCTTACAATGTCTAACCCAGCCTTACAATGGCTAAGCGAACATTAAAATGTCTTACCTAGCTTTATCACGGCTAACCTAACCTTACAATGCCTAACCTAACGTTACAATGTCTAACCTAACCTTACAATGCCTAACCTAACGTTACGATGTCTAACCTAGCCTTACAATGTCTAACATAACCTTACAATGCCTAACCTAACGTTACGATGTCTAGCCTAGTCTTACAATGTCTAACCTAACGTTACGATGTCTAACCTAGCCTTACAATGTCTAACCTAACGTCACGCTGTCTAACCTAGCCTTACAATGTCTAACCTAGCCTTACAATGTCTAACCTAACGTTACGATGTCTAACCTAGCCTTACAATGTCTAACCTAACGTTACGATGTCTAACCTAGCCTTACGATGTCTAACCTAACGTTACGATGTCTAACCTAGCCTTACAATGCCTAACCTAACGTTACGATGTCTAACCTAGCCTTAAATGTCTAACCTAGCCTTGCGATGTCTAATCTAACCTTACGATGTCTAACCTAGCCTTACAATGTCAAAACCTAACTTGTCTAACTTGCCTAGCTTTACCACCCTAACCTAGCCCTACAATGTTTAATCAAGCATTACAACGTCTAACCTAGCCTTACCACGTCTGACACACCATTTCTGTGCTTGACCCTTCTCGCCCAACAGGTGTCTGACATAACTTACCGAGTTCGAGGAAGTTGAAAACTGTGTGTAGATGGTCGATGCGTGACGTGGCGTACTCCTCCGTGCGTAGAATGAGGAACTGCTTCATCGGGAACACTTGCAGCCAATCTCGCAAGAACACCGAGTACATGCCGACATGTAGACG